CATGACGAGCTGCAGCGGCAGTTGAGAGAGGCAGCAGAGAGAAGGCAGAGGGCAATCACAAGAAAAGCTAGACTAGGAGCTTGGAGGCAGGAGTTAAGAAACTTAGAGGCACTAGACGAGTCAACACTTGACCATGCGTTGCAAGCGCTGCGTCGCTCACTCTTGTGTGTGGCGGAAACACAGGTTGTCCAGCAGGAAGTGCTGCCCGAACTAGTGGAAGGCCAGAAACGAATTTTGGCTGCAGTGCAGGCTCCTCGTCCTATGATGAGACAGCCTCAATACGTTGTAGCTCCCCCTTCGGTTGCGGGTCCTTCAGTGACGTCGTCGACGGTGCGGCCCTCTTTCTCTCCTATGTTTGGCACTCCTCTCACAAGTAGTCAACCAGTAGTCAGTGGTCCAGTTCTTAGAGCTTTTACCGTACCATCCACGACGGTGGGTACTACAGTCCCATCGCCAAGGCAGGCCCATGTTAGCGTGCAGCTACCTGTCTCAGTGGCTATGCAGCCACTGCAGCAATCTCCTGGGCCGATCCAACCCATGCAATGGATGCCCAAGATCCCCTTGTTGAGTCCTAAGCCCTTCTTTGGTGACAAGAAGAAGGATGAGGACTTGGATACGTGGGTGAGAACTGTGCCCACTTATGTGAGGCACAAGCGCACCAGGCCTGGGCAAGAAGTTATAGTTGTTGCCTCCTTTTTAGAAGGATCGGCAGCACGATGGTCAAACGGGTTAGTACAGCAGCAGGGCTATGGTCAGAACTTCGATGCCTGGGCTCAGCCTCAGACATTGGAAGGTTCCGGATTGTGTACAATAGGTCGCATGACCCTCAAGAGGGTCAAAAGGCCACTGATGCGTTAAGCAATCTTTGTGCCAAAAGGTACAGGAATGTTCACGAGGTCACATACGTCGTAGAACGTCTGATCGTAGTACCTGGTGTACGCTTTGACCTGCAGGTACTCCTCACAGACTATTTGAGATGTCTGCCTGCAGATGTCAAGAATAAGCTGGTGGACGAGGCCTATATTGACCAGCATAACTTCGCCTCTTTCAGCAAGAAGGGCTTAGACATAGAGGCTAAGGTTGGGTCCGCGCATCAGGGTGCTTTGGATGGTAGGAAAAAGAGGCTTCCCCAAGACTGGAAGAAGAAGGGTCAACTAATGTTCGTCGACCATGATGGTCAGGCGACTGAAATTGACGATTTCTCAGACCTTGGGGATGAGACAGAGCATGATGGGGCCAACGAGACTTCGGATGGGGGAGTCGTGGCACCTATCAAGGAAAAGGCTAGGGGGACCGGGAAGCAGAAGGTAGGTCGGTCCAAGGGTCAGGGCGACCAAGGAACGCCCGCATGGGTAAAACTTGGCTTAGATTACGAGGTGTGGAGGGACCGAGTTGCTAGGGGCACATGCATGAACGGTGACAACTATGGCCACACGTCAAGAACTTGCCGAGGCAAGAAGGTCACAACGAGGGTAGCCGCTACAGCGGTAGTGGGCTTATTCTCGAACCCTGGCAGTGCTTCTGCGAGCACTTAGCAGGGAAACACCTCGGGCTAGTAGGAGTGTTAGCCACTCTTACTCGTGTTGAAGTGGTAATGTCGCCTTCTCCGCTTCAGGCATTGGTCAAGGCTAGTGACCCATACATCACCCCGCAGACACATTCAGACCCATCGACACTCTATTCGAGAGATGTGTCTGAGTCCCTAGAGGAGTTACAGTCTGAGTGGTCAAGGAAGGACCCCAGAGACTCTTGGGCGATGATCAGTAGAGGTCCTAAAGGTGAACATTTCGTGGTAGAGGTCAATGTAGGTGGCCGTAAAGCGGGTGTCTTCGTAGACATAGGCTCTACACGAAATTTCATTAGTCGTGCTTGTGTGGACAGACCGCTCTTAGGGGACCAAGTGCAACGGCTTAGCAGAACTGTAGCTTCTACGCTAGCCAACAAGCACCAAATGTTAGTCAAAGACTATGTCAAGGACGTAGTTTGTACCTTCTCTTATGGAGGAGGGGAAGTGAGACACAAAATCTCATTCCTTGTCAGTGACGAACTGCCTTTTGATATGTTGCTACGCATGTACTACCTCGAGGTTGCTCAGCCTCAGTTCAATTGGGATAGGAAGGTGTTGATACACAAGTTGCCAAATGGTAGGATCGTTCGACTGCAAAAGTTCAATCCCAATCTAGTGGAAAACTACGGCTGCATGTGTGCCTCCTCTTTCTATAACTATTATACGTTGAATCGTGAGGAGGGCATGTATCTAGTCTTTGTCTCTAAGAAAGGGAAGGCCCTAAAAACACCCCCAAAGAAAAATCAGTCGTCGCTCAGTATCCTGACCTTTTTTAGGATCCCACAAGAGTGGTTGAAAGGGAGGTGGTCCATGCGATAGAAGTCCCGGGTAGTAAGGTACCTAGAGGATGTCTCCCGCGGATGAGCTCCGCCGCCAGCTCAAAGAGCTCACAGAGAAGGGATGGATTCGGCCTAGTGCCTCCCCTTACGGTGCGCCAATCTTATTTGTTCCTAAAAAGGGAGGTACACTGAGGATGTGCATTGACTATAGGGGCCTCAATGCCATCACCGTTAAGAACGCGGAGCCCCTACCCCGCATTGACGACCTACTGGATAGAGTGCAGGGATGTCGGTATATATCTGAAGTCCGGATACCATCAAATTGCTATTAGACCCGATGACCAGCACAAAACCGCTTTTCAAAAACGCTTTTCAGATGAGGTATGGTATGTACGAGTTTGTGGTGATGCCCTTTGGCCTATTCAATGCACCTGGGACATTCCAACACGCAATGAATAGGATATTTCATGAGTACTTGGACAAGTTTAGCGTTGTGTACCTCGACGATATCCTTATCTTTAGTAAGACTGTAGAGGAGCACGCTGAGCACTTAAAGATTATGCTAGGTCTCCTAAGACAACACCAGTACAAGGTAAACTTGGAGAAACACAAGTTCGGTCGCACCAAGATCTTGTACTTGGGTCATGAAATCTCCGCGGATGGGTTGAGGCCGGATGATGCCAAAGTGGCCAGCATACGTGACTGGCCCGGACCTCAGACTGTTACTGAGGTCCGATCGTTTTGGGGGATGACGGGCTACTATCGCCCGTTTGTTAAAAACTATAGTACTATAGTCTCCCCATTAACAGATCTAACTTGACTTGACACCCTTTGGGAGTGGACCGAAGAGTGTGAAGCAAGCTTCAAGAAATTGAAGTATGCTCTGACACACTACGAAGTCCTCAAACTTCCGGATCCTGATAAGCGACCACAAACGCCAGCCAATATGACATAGGCACGGTCCTTGCGCAAAAGGAGGGCCCAAAGTTGAGACCGATTGAGTATATGAGTAAAAAGATGCCATCTCACAAACTAGCTATGTCCACATATGAGCGTGAGCTCTATGCCCTGTATAGAGCGCTGGTTCATTGGAGACACTATCTCCTTCGCAGATTCTTCTATGTGAGATCTGACCATGAGACCTTGCGTTGGATTAAGACACAGCCGGCACTCTCCGGCACACTCGAGCGATGGATACAAGTGATAGACATGTATGACTATCACTTGATCCTATCAAGGGAGAGTACAACAAAGTAGCTGATGCACTATCACATCGGGCAGATTATCTGGGCGCACTAGTGACTGGATTTGGCATATCTGACGATTTGACTCGATCATTGGTGGAAGCCTATCAGCAAAATCCAGTTATGTCTTAGATCATTCGTAAATTTCAAGCGAAGGACAAAGTGACTTCGGGCGAATTTACAATTGTAGATGGCTTGTTGTTTCTTGAGAAGGCAGGGAATAAAAGACTGTGAAATAGAGTCTGTTTGCGTAGTTTGTTTTTAGGTGAATGTCATGATGCAACTAAGTGCAGAAATTCTGGTGGCCTTCTATGATGGAAGATGCCAAGAAGTATGTCGAAACCTGTCAGGTTTGTCAACGGGACAAACCTAGGACTCAGGCTCCACTTGGGCTCATTAAGCCCTTGCCGATTCCTGAAGGTCCTGGTCAGAGTGTGTCCATGGACTTCATGGATACTCATATTTGTTATAGTAGACCGCTTCTCTAAGTATGCAAGACTAATCGCTATGCCTGAAACGGCCAAAACTGACTACGTCATCAGACTGTTTATGGATAACTGAGTACGGGACTTTGGTTCACCTAAGTCCATAGTTAGTGATAGGGATATTCGCTTTACTAGCGATCTGTGGCAAAACACTGCCCAACAAATGGGAACCAGACTGCAAATGACATCAAGGAATCACCCTGAGTCAAATGGACGGGCGGAACAAATGAACAGGGTAGTGCACCACTTGCTTAGGCACTACATTAAGCCAAGCCAGGATGACTGGGACAAGAAACTACCTCTCGTCCCCAGCCTGTACAACAACGCTGTACACAGCGCTACTGGCATGACTCCCAAATCGAGGGTCTGAGCCTGGGCGCCAGAATGCCGGATGGCGCCAAATACGAAATCCGAAAGTGGCAGAGGCGGGATTTGAGAACGGGCACCAACTGCAGAGGGCGCCAACAGTCAGGAACTGGAGATCGGAGACTCAAAAAAAAATAGAATAGCAGCCTGGTGGGTGGTAACCCGCGAACCAAGGATCGAGCCCTCGCCGAGTCCGTAACACTATCCCCTCCCTCTGGAAGGCAACGTCCCGGCTGCCAAAGACCCAACGAACAACTGTGAAGGACGGGACGGGGCCGATCACTGGTCAAAAAAGGAAAGGGGGAGTAATGCAAGTAGCAGGGTAATCCTATGGGGGTTCTACAGGGATGAGGGGATCAATGTTCAAGTAACAGGGTAATCCTACTGAGGTTCTACAGGGATGAGGGAACCAATGCCAAAGTAACAGGGTAATCTTATTGAGGTTCTACAGGTAACAGGGAGGTCATATTGGTGTTCTACAAGGTTGTAGGTTGTCCGGTTTGAGAAAGAATTAAAAATAAAAAAATTGTTTGTTCAATGCTCAAGTGCTGGGGTGTCTGAGGGGTTTGGGAAAACAACGTCTCAGGTTTGTAACAAAGTGTCCAAAGCGAAGAAATGTCTTGAGGAAGGTCTTGGAGGGTGTCGCACAAGTGGCGGTGAGGAAACAGTCTTCAGCAGATCCGTGATGTAGGCGGCGAGGACTTCAGCTTGATTGTCGCAATAGCAGGTTGCATCCGGTACACGATTTGATGATGAGGTCTGATCCGGATAGGAGGTTGCAGACTGATCTTGATGTCCATGTCAGAGGTGCTGCTCCAGAAGTCTGCGAGTCCAAGGTGCCGACCAAAGGGAACAACATGGTGGCCAACCAGCTGTCTTATCTCCTCGTACTGAGCTGCAGCATGCCATCGTCCTTGTGCGCTTGCCATTGGATCTATTATCGCCAGCGACGCGCAGGGGACACAAAGAGAATTTGCACAAAAGAGACACGGATGTGGCGAAGGACAAATGGGAGAATGGGGCAAGGCGGAGGCAAGAACGGATCAGACAGGGGGGGAGTCAAAAGGCAAGGGCTTCGTTGGGTACAAGGGTGTGTGTAGAGCAGGAATGCGAGGTTTTGGTGGGGTCAAGGCGGGGTTTATGCAAGGGTTTAGGGTTCGAGTTATATTATGTATCTAGGATATAGGGTGAGCACGATCATAGGCGCGAACAAGTTTCATAGCATTCTTAAGGTTAGCAAGAGGTTCCCATGTGGATTCTTCGTCAAGGTATCCAGTCCATTTAACTTTGTATTCTGTGATTGGCTCCGGATTGTCTGATATTTGTGTGGCTCATCAACCTATGATGGATTCTACTACGAATTTTGGGCATGTGGGAAGCATGATCGGTGGAGGTCTGGGGTAAAGGCGGTCAGCGAATTGGGGTGGGGATTCATGGTATTCTTTTAAGTATTCTACGTGGAAGACAGGGTGGACACGACTCATGTCAGGAGGGAGTTGGGGCTTGTAATTGACGTGGGAGGTTTGTTCAATGATGGGGAAGGGTCTGGGCCACTTGTTCGAGAGTTTTTTGGACAAGCCGTGTTCGGGTTCAAAGCGTTTGGCGGCACATTGGCGGAGAGCCAGACTTTGTCCCCTACTTTGAATGTTACGTCTCATCTGTGTTTGTTGGTCTTGTTGGCTTGTTGTTCTTGTGTTCGTTCAAGGGCTTCGGTAGCTTCTCGGAGGAGTCTGTTCATTGTTGCTACCCATTCATTGAGAGAAGGGCAGGGGGTGGAGGAGTTGAGTTGCGAGAGGAGCAGGAAGTCGAAGGGCAAGCGCGGATGATAGCCAAGGTCAAGGTAGAATGGAGACATGCCAATGGAAGGATAGACAACATTGTTGTAGGCGATCTCGGCGGCAGTGAGCAACTGATCCCAATCGTGTTGATGTGGATAACAATACTTCCGCAGGATTCTTTGGAGAGTACCGTTCATCTTCTCGGTTTGTTCATCGGTCTGTGGGTGGAATGTAGTGCTATACTTGAGTGTGGTTCGGTAGGCCACAAGCGGTTAATGGAAGGCGAAAATTTCGGGGGTTTTCGCCGCATTGCTACAAGCAATGTTGTCGAAACGTTTGCGAACAAACTATTTCCAGAATTGTGAAAGGAAGCGATGGTCACGGTCGTTGATGATGTTCTCGGGGAG